ACACAAACGCACACTACAGACAGCCACTTACCCCATTTGCTCCACCTTCACCTGGAGAACTCCCTCTCAAAACTCTTTTAGCGGCCCCTATTCGAAAAAGCCATGGTGGACCATCGGTCCTGGGCTCGGGAAACGAGCACTGAGTGGTGGGATCACATCGTGATGCATGTATGGGATGACGAGCAGTGGCTGCAGAACTTTTGGATGTGCAAATCCACCTTCCTGGAACTGTGTGAAGAGCTCATGTCAGCACTGCGGCGCAAGGACACCAGAAAAAATGGTTACTAACCTTTCCGTAATTGTTGTTCTTCGAGATATGTTGCTCATGTCCATTCCTAGGTAGGTGTATGTGCGCCGCGTGCACCGTCGCCAGAAAGTTTTTCCCTCAGTGGTATCCATCGGGTTGTCTCCGGCGCCCCCTGGAGTCACGCCCTCATGGCGCTTTATATAGGAGCCCACCGACCCACCACCCCATCAGTTCCTTCTTGCCGGTAACTTCGACAAAGGGGTAGGAAGGCAGGTTTTGGAATGGACATGAGCAACACATCTCAAAGAACAACAGTTACAGAAAGGTTACTAGCGGTTTTTTCTTCTTTGAGTGCTTGCTGATTTCCATTCCTGTGTAGGTGACTCTCAAGCAGATGTAGGAGGTGGGTTCAGAGTTCAATGACAAATGGAGTGTAGCACTGCTCTGCCAAAACCACCATCATCTCTAGCCTGCTGTGTGATGGCGTAGTGGGGTGTGAAGGTGTGGACTAAAGACCATGTCACTGCTCTACAGATATCCTTGACGGAAACCTTTGCCACGAATGCCGCAGAAGGCCCCCGTGAAATGTGCCATCAGTGCCAGAGCAGGGACTTGCCAGGTCATAGCACGTGTGAATACAAGTAATCCATGAAGAAATTCTTTGGGCCAAGACTGGGAGGCCCTTTATCCTGTCTGCCACGAAGAGCTGAGAAATCTTCCTAAACGATCTGGTCCCATCTATGCAGAAGGCCAGCGCCTGCCTGACATCTAATGAGTGGAGCCTCTGCTCCTGGCTATTGGCATGTGGCTTTGGGAACAAGATGGGAAGAAAAATGTCATAGATGGTTGTGGAACTCCGACACCACCTTTGGGAGGAAAGCTGGGGGGGGGGCGCAGCTGCTCCTTGTCCTTGAAGAAGACCGTGTAGGGTGATTCTGAAGTAAGGGCCCTGATTTCTGAGACCCTCCTGGTTGAGGTAATGGCTACAAGGAAGGCCACTTTCCACGACAAGCAAAGCAAAGAGCATGTCATCAAGGGTTCGAATGGTATCCCTGTGAGTCTTGAGAAAACCAAGTTAAGGTCCCAAGGCGAGATAGACTGTCTCACCTGCAGGTAGAGCCTGTCCAGTCCTTTCAGAAAACGGCTACAATGCGCGTTAGCAAAGAAGGACTTACTGCTCACGCCCGGATGGAACGCGGAACTAGCTGTCAGGTGCACCCTAATCCAAGACACCCACAGCCCTTGGTCTTTTAGATGTAACAAATAGTCCAGAATACACGGTATGGATGTTCGAGTGGGTAAGATCCCCTTCTGCCCTACCCAGATTGAAAACCTATTCCATTTTACCAGGTATGTCACCCTAGTGGATGGCTTTCTGCTCCCAAACAGAACCTCCTGAACCGGGCTTGAGCACACTAATTCCGAAGGGTTCAGCCATGCAGCTTCTAGGCCATCAGATGGAAGGACTCAAGGTTCGGATGAAGGAGACAGCCGTGTTCCTGGGAGATCTAGTCTGGAAGCAGTGGTAGGGTGATTGGTTTTCCAACTGAGAGCTCCAGGAGGGTGGTGGACCAATGTTGGTACAGCCAGGCTGGTGCTATCAGGATCATGCTCACTCCCTACCCCCCTTGACCTTCAGCAGGACCTTGTGTATGAGCAGAATGGGTGGGAATGCATAGAAAAGATGGTCCTTCTAGGGCAGAAGGAACGCATCTGCGAGCAAGCTCAGACTGGGATTCTGAAAGGAGCAGAACTGTAGACACTTCCTGTTGTGTTTTGTTGCAAACAAGTCTATCTGGGGAGTTCCCCACCTCTGGAAAATGTCCCTCACAACATCCGGGTGAATGGACCATTCATGTTTGGCGAAGGACCTGCTGAGATAAGGCGCTAACCCATTCTGGGCCTCTGGAAAGTAGAAAGCCTTGAGGTAGATTGAGTAGGTTATGCAGAACTCCCACAGGCTTCCTGGCATAGATGAAAGGAGCATGCTCCACCGTCTCTTGCTATAGAACAGGGGTTCTCAAACTTCATTGCAGCACGACCCCTCTTCTGACAAAGTTACTACATGACCCTGGGGGGGTGGGGAGGGGTAAGGGGGCAGCAGGCCAAGCCCTGCCACCCCAGCTGCAGGGAGGGGGGACAGCAGCCACAGCTCCATTGCCCCAGGCAGGGGTGGAGCTCAGGCTTCAGCTTCAGGCATGGGTTCCAGCTAGTCTAATGCTGGCCCTGGTGACCCCATTAAAATGGGGTCATGACCCACTTTGGGGTCGTGACCCACATTTTGAGAACCACTGATATAGAACATCAGTCGTGTTGTCTGTAAGCATCGACACACACTTGTCTTAGAGGTGGGGCTGGAACATTTGCCAAGCAAGGCGCACCGCTCTGAGTTCTCTCACATTGATATGTAGCAAGAGCCTTGAGGGTCCCAAGGTGAGCTCCCTATCCCAGTGTGGAAGCATCAGTGACTAGAGACATTGATGGCTGTAGGCTCCTGAATGGAACGCCCGCACTTACCACGCCTGGGTCCAACCACCATAAGAGAGTCGATCACTGAAGGGAGAAGTGTGACCACTCTGTCCAAGCAGTCCCAGCCTGGTTGGTACACTGTCACAAGCCAGGCCCGAAGCGGTCTGAGTCGCAGCCTCACATGTACACAATGCCACTTGCCTCAGGAGCTTCAGGCAGGTCCTCGCAGTGGTGGTGGGATGTTTTCTGAGGCTATGATTGAGCAGAGTGTCTAGAATCTGGCTTCTGGTAAGAAGGCTTTGGCCTGGACTGAGTAGAGAACTGCACCTGTGAACTCCTATTCTTTGAATGGGGGCAAAGTTCGACTTGTGTGTTCAACAGGCCTAGCATCAAAAAGGTTGACAGTATTGATTGAATATGCTCTTCCACCTGAGCACTGGACCGACCTCTGACCAGCCAGTTGTTGAGGCAGGGATACACTAGTACTCTTCGTTTTCTCAAGGGGGCCGCTGACAGGCCAAAAAGCAATACTGCGAACTGATAGTGTACCTGCCCCACCACAAACCAGAACTCTGTTGCCCAGGAGTATGGAGATGTGAAAATGTCTCTCTCTCCTTGGTGACGGAGAGCTGGGCTGCGATGTGGTGCCTGTCCCTCATGAAAGCTGGCTCACTCCTCATGGAGGCAGAGTACATCAACCGAAAGGGCTACTTCTCCATGGTCTTGCAGATGCTAGTGGATTATGGGGGCTGTTTCAGTGACAAAGGCAGGGTGGTCAGGAAAGGTGCATGATGCACACATCTTTAGGAACACACTGGACTGTATAGAAAGCTGCATGCTGGGACTTTCTTTCCAAACCTGAAGATTCCAATGGGGGATGCAGAAATGCCCAAAGTAATCCTTAGAGACCCTGCCTACCCCTTGCTCCCATGGCTCATGAAGCCTTGCAGCAAGAAGTGTTTCAACAGGTGCCAAATGACCACTGAATGTGCCTTCGGACGATTAAAAGAACAATGGCGCTATCCTGTTAGGTTAGACCTAAATGAGGAAAATACTCCAATGGTCATCGTGGCCTGCTGTACTCTGCATAATATTTGCAAATCAAAGGGGAAAAGAGTTTCCCTGGGGTGGACAGCTTAGGCTAATCAGCTGAGTTTGAGCAGCCAGATAGAAGGGCAATTAGAGGGGCACAGTGGGAGGCTATTTGAGTCAAGGAGGCTTTGAAGGAGCATTTTGACAGAGTCCCAGTAATGTGAGTTTATATGATGCAGTCAGCCAGGCAATGTTTGTGTGCCAGCTTGAATTACTGCTGTAGTGCTTGCTTCCTGAGCATTAACTGTACTAAGCAAATCCTACCTATAGCCACTGTGTTTCAATGTTAGCACTGAGGATGTATGTATGTATCTATGTCACAAATAGACTGGAGTTTAATAACCAGATAAAACTCAAACTTTTGGTCAGTCTCACGGTTAGCGCTCTCACAGCTGGGTGTAACTCCAGCTTTCGTTGAGAAGCCAGTCCCTAGGTGTGGAGCGCACGGAGTACTGAGAGGGACCAGGAACACATGAGGAATGCAGATGGGGAGTTTGGGGAGGGTACATACCTGTGTACCTTCAGGACTGCAGAGTTCAAACTGCTGACCAGAGCAGTCATGGGCATTGTGGGACACCTGCTGGAGGCCAATTAGGGCATCTCCACTGAGGCTGAGTTGTTCTAACTACGTTGCAAAAAGCTCTACGATGCTCATCAAGGTAGTTTTATTATGTTGGCATAACGGGAGTTATATCAGCAGGAGGAGCATTTCAGTGTGTACACCTTCACTGTTCTGTTGACAAAACTGTGTAGCATAGACAAGGCCTAAGCCTCTGTGCAGAGTTCCCTTGTTGATCAAAGTTAAGGAAATGACATATTTGGATATCATTTCTACACTAACTTCTGCCTTGTGTATTTGATTCTACTTTTTATAGATGAAGGTATAGTTTACAGCCTATGACTGATGCTGAAAGACACACTGATCTTTACATTGAAGTAAAGCTTGAATGTGTATAAATGCAATTAAGCTTTATAGGCAATGCAACTTGGAAAGTGAAGATTTTCAAAAGAAACAGCTGAATAAACAATTTATATTTCCTCACACTATCAAAACCAAAGTACTTCCAGTCACTTCAAGTGTTAAAAAGTTTCCCATACACACTTGGCAATAACGATCACCATTTGTTAGTTATTCTGGTTCAATATTAATGGACTAACATTCACCCCAAACAAATACAGATGTACTGGTAAATCAGGATCGATATTTTATTACCACAGTATAACAACTGATTTTAGTTAACTGAGAAGCTGGTACTTAAAAAAATTCAACAAATGCAGCAATTAAAAATAAATATATAGTCTTTATTTTTTAGTACCCAAGACCATTCCCCCACCACTGCCGCATATAGTTAAAAGCTATTTGAGTCTTCTTGTGAACATACTAGTAATATGTTACCATGATTTACAGATTTCCAAATTCCATCTTTTAAAAACTCATCTTCCTGTATATTTCTTCCAGAACATTCTTCTGGTGGAAGAAATGCTGCCGAACTTGAGCTGTAGAAATCTTTACTGAAAAAAAAATATTGAGTATCAGATGAGATATGTTTATGAATTATTCTTTAGCAATCTGCAAGATCATCTAGGGTGGTTGAAAATGCCTTTGCAGAGACTTAACTGTTTCAAAGCTGAAACAAAACCTGACTTTGTGAAGCCATTTTTTCTAAGTATCTACATGTATAGGAACATCTTCAGAGGTTAATTCCTAAACCAAGTTCCTTGCTCCATTATGCAGGACTTCAGATCCTATTTTAACTACAAGCACTATTCTAAATTTAGTTACGATAGAAGCTGAGTCACAAAACTGTCCCTTATACAGCAGAATCATGGGAGAGATTAATTGCCAACATCAAATAATGCTGCGGAAGGACTTTTTTTTTATGCCTTTCTTGACACCACAAACATTAATAACAAAAATGAATGGGCAACACAAAGGCAAGAATGCTACATATTCTTAAAAAATGCTTAGTTGTAAAGTTTGCCAGTTAAACTGCAGTCTTAGCCAAGAAATATCAAAATGTTATACTGCAAGTTATAGGAAGAAAAGTACGTGCGTGTTATTTGTAGTGTTATTTAAATGGTTTAATGCAAGATTATCATGCTTGTAAACATTAAGTAAGAACAAGAAAACTAAAGATTTCATTTCCAGTGGAAGCTAGAAAAAGCTATTATGATTCACTTCTGACTGCTGCAATTTAGCTTTGGGGCAATAGGCCAGACAACTGCCTGAGGTTTGATTAGCTTATGACGTTTTGCACCAATATTCTGCAACTAATTTTAGTTTTGGAAGATACTTATGAACATTTAATCAGTAAAAATTAGATCATCCTTGCCCACCTTGGACACTGGAGCATTCTGCATGACCTTACAAGCAAAGTAGCCAATTAACTGTTACAAAAGAAATATCACAGATTTAGAGTTTTGTAGAGTAAGAGCTCTCACCAAACTTTAAATAGACATGACAAACTGCAAGTAAATAATCAACGTTTATGGAATAAGACCTAAAGGTTCTGCCCATATACAAATGGAACATTTCACTTTAACCAATGTAGACTCTGAATTCAAAAGAAAAAACACATTTCATTCTTACCATAGTATACAAAGCCATATGTACAGAAACTGTAGTCTTCTATTCATTCAGACTAATTTTCTCCACTGAACAGAAACAAATACAAGTTAGTACAATGAACATGTATTGCTCCAACCCCATCCATCACCATTTTCTTAGAATTTTTTGTTTTAAGAGCAACCCTGCACACTGCTGAAACACTTCTAGGTACAGCACCAAATCAAGCCAGCAAGTGTCTAGCAATTAAAATCAATTTTGTGGCTCTATAATTATATTTGGATAGGAAGGAACCTCCTTTGAAGGTACTAGTAAGTAGCAATTAGCAAACTAAATTTCACCAAAATATATCAAAATTCTGGCTAGCTCCAAGAGATTAATTCAATGTCTATTATAATGGTCAAGAAAAACAACGCTGAAGGCAAGATATAGTGGGGGTGGGTGAGGTTGTGTGGCCTACAATGTGCAGGAGGTCATACTACTAAATGATCATAACAGTCTCTTCTGACCTTAAAGACTGCTCATACATACCACCCAAACATCAACTTTTCTACAGAGATTCTGTCCTTGCAGAATTGTGGAGGGAAAAAGTACATAACCATCTCCCAAAACCGTTTCAGCAAGAGTTCTTGTATGCCTTTTTTGACACCACGTTCACTGTGGGAGATAGTGAATGGGTAACACAAAGGCAAATATTTATATTTGTAAAGTGATCATTTCATTTCTCAGTGCAAAACCTAGCTTAACGGCATATAAACAAATGGTCACCTCCAAAAGAGACCTATTTATAAGTAAATTTTTGAATTATATACAGATGTCAGGTATTCCATTAAAAATAATCATACCATTCAGGAACTGTCATACCAACTTCTTGTAAAGTGGTATTTGGCAACTTGGCAAAGCGCATCAATAGGCATTGTCTGCCTACATCTGAAAAACAGGAGGAAAAAAGATAAAATATAACGAATGTCTAAACAGATCAATTTAAAGTCAAACTAATTTTGCATACAAGTAAATTTTGTCCTCAATGCCACTGGCTTCATAGGGCTCTTCTGGCAGCCAGTGATTATGTAGAAGACCCAGCCACATTTCATACTAGCCTTATGGAGACTGCTCTACAAAACGGAAGGATTCCTCCCTCCTCCAAATTGTGTGATCTGCCCATGGCTGGCCATGCTGATTTTAAGGGTGTATTGTGCCGTAAAAAACCCAGTCCAAAACCTGAGCACATTAGGGAATGTGAGTTATGCATGCAGAAAACCCAGTCTTCTACAAAATTTGACAGATCTCCCAGGACACCAAGGAATAGATGAAGATGAGCAGCAGTATCATTGTTCCCTCACTCAAAAAACATGCCCAATAGCTTTCAGGGCTTTCACAGAAGTGGGGTGTGTGTGAAATGTTGCCCCAAGCATCACCATGCTATGGCCAGTCAGTCCCATTTTTAAGAAGTACCCAAACCCTGGGTCGAGCACGTGTGATTTATCAGTCTACTCGGCGCTGTTCCCCTTGCACCACGAGCACGCACAGCGCAAACACCTTTTGGTTTGGGGCTTTCTTGGCATCGCCTGCGTTAGTTACAAACATGCACGTGCACCACTCCGAAGCCCGGGAAAGCACGCGGAGCTGAGCAGCCATTGGGCCGACAGCACGTACCAAAATCCTCACTCGCTCGTGGCAACTCCACGCGGACGCGCCCGAAGATTGCCGCTGGGACCCGCGCCCGAGTCACACGAACGGCAGCGGCTCCCCCCGCCCCGCCCGAGGCCGGGTCAGCGGCACCAGCCCGCCAGCCACGCCGCTTCCACCCAACAGCCCCCCCACCCCGGAGACAACCAGGGGGTTCGGCCCCGGACACGCTTGGGCCTGCGGGGGGAGGGGGCGGCCGCCTGACGGGCCGAGCGGTCACAGCGCGGCCGGGCTGCGAGAGACGCGAGTCCCCGGGCCGCTCCCTTTTCCTCATGGGCCGACCCCGCCGGCCTCGCGCCAGGCCAGCCACTGCCACGGGACGCGAAGTCTCGGCGGGCAGGCGAGCGCGCGCTGGACGCACAGAGCGCGGGGGCTCGTGCACGGAGCTAGGCGCCGCCAGGCCCAGCCGCCCCCCAACCCGCAGCACTGGAGAGTGAACCACCTCCTCGCCCCGCCCCCCACCACGGAGCCGGCTAACCCGCCTGTGCTCTCGAACCCCGCGGCTCTGGCCGGGCCGGCTCACCACGAGGCTCCCAAACAGACCGGCCCAGTGGCCGAGCAGCAACCCCGCCATGTCCGCTCCCTTCCCGCCTGAGAGAGAGAGACTCCACCCCCCGCTCCCAGCATGCCCCAAGCCGGACAAACCACTCTGCAGGGAGGAGCGGCGTGTACCAACGCCGGAGAGGGGGCCGACTGTACCAGCGCCTCACACAGACAGGGGAGGAGAGTGTACCAACTCCACTGGGAAGGAGGGGCCTGGTTTGTAAATCCATTACTCCACCCCCTGCAGAGGCCGGGCAGGAGGCAGGTCGAAGAAAGAATTCTTCCCTTGACCTCGCTGCTGGATCTACAGTGGGGGTTAGGTTAGGGCCACCTAACTATGTCTTACAGGCAGGACATTTGTCACAGCCTGAGCAATGTAGCTAGGTGGACCTACGTTTTAGGTATAGACCAATGTGCTGCTAATACAAACGCTCAATCAGTGCTATTAAACCAAGCACACTGTAAAGCTCAGGTGTTGTTTTGCAGTGTGAGGGCTCCCACTCAAGCTAGACTAACTTGAGAGGAGTTAATCTTAGGCGTTGTCTACACTGCCATTTTACAGCGCTGCAACTTGCTCCCTCAGGGGTGTGAAAAAACACCCCCCTGAGGGCTGCAAGTTTCAGCACTGTAAAGTGGCAGTGTAGACAGTGCACCAGCGCTGGGAGCTGCATCCCTCATGGGGGTGGGTTTTTTACAGCGCCGGGAGAGCTCTCTCCAGTGCTGGGGCCACGACTACACAGCCACAGTAAAGCGCTGCCTTAGGGCATGTCTACACTGGCAGAGTTACAGCGCAGGGAGTTAAAGCACCGCTCAGAGAGCGCTGAAGGGAAACCGCTGTTGTGTGTTCACACTGTCAGCTGCCCGCGCAATAGCATGTTCACCCTTGCAACAGTATTCGGAGCGTTGCACTCTGGGCAGCTATCCCACAGAGCACCTCTTTCTCTTCTGCTGCTAAGACTTGTCACTAACTGGCTGACCCCAGGCAAGCACACATGAGCCACAAGACCCCCCAAAATGGTGAGTAGCTGCAGGAGCAGGATAAATCACTCTTCCCGGACACTGCTGTACACTGGGCATGTGGCTCTTGGGGAGAGCCAGCACTGGAGGGGGGGCCTGATAATCATTCCTGTCCCCACACTTTCCACAGGCTGTGATCATTATGGAAGATATCTCGCTCCTGAGGGTGAGCAGGGAATCAAGGGAGGGTCTTCTCCAAGACTGTGGCTTCCACCCTGGCCCCTGTGTGGCTCGCCTGGTGCAGCAATGGTCCCTCCCCAACTCCCCATGAGGCACAGTGGTGCAGGAAAGTAACCGTTAATGGGGCAAGAAACAAAGCAGCTCTGCCGAGGAACCTGCGGCAACGGATTGCCCAGTATTTCCACGAGAGTTTCCTGGAGATCTCTGAGGGAGATTCCTGTGAAGTGAGGGAGTCAAATAACAGCCTGTTCCACTGCTCAGACTAGGCGTGCGGTAGGAGACAAGCCTGCTTTCTGCAACCCTCCTTCCCCCAACAACTCGCTTCAGCGATTCCCAAAATCAAATCCACTTACCCAAGGCCTCCTCTCCTGTTTGCGCTTCGGCAACATCCAACAGCTGTGACTGGGTAGCCTCCTCCGGGGTAGAAAAGAGCTCCCGGCTGCATGCATCTTTGACCTCCGAGTCATCATCTGCCTCTGGGTCCCCCTCTCCCTCCACATCCTCGTCCACTCCTGGCTCAGTCCACTCTCGACTGGCACAGAAGCCACCGAAGTATCCACAGTGGTCTTCGCAGTGGAGGTGAGGTTGCTGCCGAGTATCGCATCCAGCTCTTTGTAGAACCAGCAGCTTGTGGGCGTAGCACGGGAGCGGCGGTTTGCCTCCAGCGCCTTGTGGTAGGCGTTCCACAGCTCTTTCACTTTGATCCTGCACTGCAATGTGTCCCGGTCATGGCCCCTTTCTGTCATGCATTGTGAAACCTGTCCATAGGTGGTATAATTCTGACAGCTGGAGCACAGCTGGGACTGCACAGCCTCCTCTCCCCAAATGCTGATGAGGTCCAGCAGCTCAGCATTGCTCCAAGCGGGGGATCGCCTGGTGAGTGGAGCAGGCATGGCCACCTGGAAAGATGTGCTGAGACCACTGCACGCGTCACTAAGCAAACAGGAAGGGGACTTTCAAAATTCCCAAGGATTTTACGGGGTGGGGATGACAGTTGGTCACTTGAGGATAGGGCAGAAGAGTTCAAACCAATGACCAGAGAGGCGAGAACAAGTATTGTGGGACACCTCCCGGAGGCAAATCGCAGCGCTGTAATTGACCATGGTGTCTACACTGGCACTGCAATGCTGTGGCCCCGGCACAGAAAGCTGTACACCTCTGTAGTGGGGCGGCTGCCCCACTCCCTGAGAGTATGGGCTGCGGCAGGCGAGTGGGTCTGCACAGATGCACAGCCAATGGGAGAAGGGCTTATTGGGAGCCAATCAGGGCCCAGATTGGAGGCAGCCAATCAGGGCCAGGCTCAGCCCTATAAAAAGGCTGCACAGGGAGAGGAGAATCAGTCTGTCCCAGGCCTTTGACAGGAGAAGGTCTATCTCCAGGGTGGGAGACTAGCACCTGGGACAGTGCAGTGTTGGGCAGGCCTGGGGGAGCAGAAGGTAACTCTAGCCTGGTGTCTGCCAGGCTGCAGGCTCTGAGGGGAAGGGCCTAGCCGGTGCAAGGGGCCAAAGGGGAAGTGGCCCAGGGAAGTAGGCAGGTGGAGGGGAGAGAGGGAGGGGAGCGAGGCGGCTGCCAGAGGGGGCCCCGGGGGGGGGCCCCAGGGGGGGGGGGGGGCCGGGGCCCCCCTCCCCCCCCCCCCCCTTGCAGTACACCCAGCCATTGGCCGTAGGGAGCGGCCATTATAGACCACGCCAGATCCCTGACAGGAGGGATTAGACTTTAGGGTGTGTGGTTGACCATGGTGGCTGGACATAGAGACTGCTGATTGACACACACACACACACCCAGAAGGGGGTGTGGAAGGACTAAGGGGCTCTGCTGGAGGGCAGTGGTCCTGAAGAGGACGCCGCGAGTTGGTGAGCGACGTGGGCTCAGAAGCCAACCGAGGGCAAGACAACAGGTGGGATACCACCGAGAGGGGACGCTCCACTGGACTGAGCTAATTCCCAGAGTAACCAGTAGGAGGCGCTGCCGTGGTGAGTCCCAACCTTGTTACAGCCTCTCATTGGGGTGGTGTTTTTACAGCACTACAACTGTGCAGTTTCTGCGCAATAAGTGGCTTGGCAGTGTGTACACCTCAGGAGTTACAGCGCAGAAAGCTGCTTTATTGCACAGAAACTTGCCAGTGTAGACGGGGCCTTAGTGTAGCTAATTCAAGCTAACCTTGCAGTGAAGCTGCACTCTTAATACTTTGTCTACTGCACTGGACTATTAGTTACTGGTAAACACTGAACAACTTCCACTCAGGATAGCAATACATTTTGAGCATACATTTTGTAGTTATTTAAAAAAAAACAAAAAAACCCCCAAACATTTTGACTGGTTAAATAAAAAACCTACACATTACTAGAACAGCATATGAAAAACCAGGACTGTCCCAGTTAAACCAGGATGTATAATCACTTTAGTTGTAGAATGACTTTCTGCAGCAGAATTAATCTACTCTGAAGTCTCTCTTCTGTGGAGCTTTGCAGATGCCCAGTCCAAGCAATGACCCATTGCATAGAAACCCCAAGTATCCAATTATTGTTATTTAACATTTCTGTATAGCATCATTTGTATGCATGGTGCTGTGCAGAGAGAGTGATAACATGGTCCCTGTACCAAGGATCTATGGCACTCTATGGACCTGATTGAAGTCAATGGGGTGCCATGTGGGCATTGGGTCAGCCAATGCAGAACAGTTTGCAGGTTTGAGGCCTAGGTTAGATCTGATATGACAGAGGAACACATAAGCTCAGGGGAGAGGGAAGGAGGGTCTCACAAACACACGCACAACTTGAGTAATGACATTGCTGCTTTTCACTAATAAAACAACATGAGTAAATAATGTTATGACTTGGCAGAACAAGAGGTAAGATAGAGAATTTTCAGATTTTTCTAAAGAGGTCAGCTTCTAGTTAGGCACCAAAATAAGTGGCTAGATTTCCTTAAGACTTCACCACATTCAGTGCTGAGTTCTCTTCAAAATCTGTCCGTAAGTATCACACTGGGAGTTGGGAGGTACTGAGCACTTTTGAAAAATTGGCCCTTATTTAGATACCTACACAGGAGTTGAGCTGTTTTGAAAATCTGACTATAGATGTGGTAGCTGAACACTTGACAATATGGCCCTGAACTCTTTGAAAATCTGAGCCCCTCGGGGAAAAGAAGATAATACAGATGACCACACAGTGGATGCTTGTGCACAGCACCTTCTGAAATAAGATCATATATTCAGCTGAGTGGAGGAAATATATGTTCTATCTTTTGCCTTTCGATAAAGTGCCCATTGCTTAAGGGGGAAATGGTTCTCTTTAATTAGA